CAATTTATATCCATAGCTATAATAAAAAATACATTAAATAAAATACCTTTAATCTTAAAATAGAGTTTTGAATATTTTCAATAACTAAAAATGAAAATAAATATCTAACGTGAATTTTTTTTTAATTTACAAGATAATGGTAGTGTAACAAATGACATTCCTTAATTTCTCCAATCACGTCTATATATAAAATATATTAAACAATGACGTTCTTTAAGAGAAACGCCAATATGACGTCAGTTTAAGTCCATCAGATCATCTTTTAATAAACAAAGAGAATATTCGAAATCGCTAGACTCAACAATCAGAGCTACGGACGATTCCTTCACATTCCTTTACTTACCTCTTTCTTTCAATAGCTGGTATTCCATGCCTAATGTGTGAAAAACGCTGTGCCTCTTAGTCTGGACTGAGAAGTAATGTGAGAAGCCATTAGCAATAACGATTATGTCAAGCTCAAATCAAAGTCCCAATAGCAAAGCAAAATTCAAACCAACGACGAGGAAGTAAAACGTCATTGTCAATAACAATGGACTACCTTTTTTTTCAGCCCTGAGCCAACTATTTGTCCCCTTGTACGAAAACAAGAGAAATTATATAAAAATGTAACGCGAATTGCTGAGACTTTGAAAAAAATAAAAATAAAAACAGACCAATGTCACCAAAAGAAAAAAGACAATGATAAAAATAAGAATCATAAAAGAACCTACTTTACTAAGATATTAAGTGCTTAACTCACAATTACTATGTCACTAAATTCACGAATCAACCCTTTAATGCACTCTCGTGGGACAAAAACCTAACCTGACTAATGATGAAATTCCCTGTAGGTTACCCAGATCGACATACACCTGATGAAGGCCGGAGGGCATAATGGTCGAAATGTTGTGCTAAGAACAACAAAGATGAGGAAAATAGTTCGCACATAAATAGTGAAAATACGTGTTTAAAAGTCTATGAATTTACAGTACGAAACCCGACATAGTATAAATTTGAAAGCCAATTCGAAAACATCAGTGACACAAAAACTTAACCGTAGCTTCAAGTTGATTCTTATAAAGCGATCCACAGACGCTTCAGGGAAAAAGTTCTTTGTCTTATTTAATAATGTATATACGTGTGTGTGTGCGCGTGCACGCGAGTAAGATTTTTCAGAGTTGCACCGATCCTAAGTCGCGGCTCGGTAATCAAAATTTTGTTTCTAGGTAGAGTGCACTGATATTCCACTTGTACGTAGAAAAGTCAATCTATACCTAAATAAAGCTGTCAATTTTTATGACTTCTCGTTTCTGATTATGCTCGTCAGTTGGGTCTCTAGCTAATCTCTGTTGCAGATGCTCGCTCAAGCACATTTGTGCTTGTTCAGCACACACAGAGCCAACATTGTGGTTTATACTGCAACTAGGGTGAGCAGAGCTTGCAGTTTCTATCCAGGACGTTCAACGCCTCGGTCACAATGATTTGTGACATCAGTTCATAGTATCAGGCGCTTAGAAACCATGCCATACACTGGGGTCATCTTTCAAGGCTGATATTATCAAGAAGTCAAATCAACAAATCAATAATGGCAAGATTTCAACCTGAATCTCATGGTTGGAACACTGACGTTTTAAGCACTACTCTAATGTTAACATTCTGTTAGCAACAAAAAACTTTTCCTTAATATTTAGAAAGTATCAAGTCAAATTTTCATGTTTATTTAAGTAGCTTTCTGAATATCTCTGTCAAGTCAAGGGGTTTCTGGTTTTATTCATAATATTTGTATTAATTACAAGCACATAACTGTACAGTAAAGGCTGTCTGTAATAATTGTGGTAAAAACGTATGCAAAGATCACAGTAACCTTCTTGTTCATTGCTTGAAATATAAAAAAAAGTGTTAAAGAGGAATCAGATTAATTATAAACGGTTTTAAAAGATCATGCTGAAAATAAAATGAAACTTATTTTTGCATATTTGAATTTTTAAATCTTACAAATTTATTTTGTAATACTAGCCTGTTAATTCATTTTTTTTTTCATTTTCTATTATTTAACCAGAAAGAACATTCAAGCTAATTTATAACAAGAAAATTAAGCTCTAAATGATGTATTTATAATATTATTATATGAGGTGTTTGAAAATCTCCTTGTAATAATGCCGTGACAATGCCACACAGTACAAACGGAGAGTGAAATGTAAACAAGGCTGACGGTAAATTCAGTTTACTCCAAACAAATGGTTAAAGTTTTAAGCATTTAGCCTCCAATGCTTCTGATAAATTAAACACGGCGTTATATTTGCATAGGTCTAAATAGAGGCCGAGGATGATCGGTTAGAGCGTTAGTGCTCCAACCCTGACACCCATGCTTGAATATCAACATTAACGGTTTGTCAAGGTGATTTTTAATAATATCGGCCTGGGAGAATTATACTAGCGTGCGGCACCGTTGGCAAGTGCCTGAAAACTATACAAGTCTTGTGATTGAAACGAAACAGTTCATCGGTAATTTTACTGGCACGGAGACAAGTTTTCATTGAATGGGCAAATAGAAGCACTTTAGCCTTCGTTGGTAATCTATCTTTAAAATCGCGTCTAGATGAATGCGTCCTGCAGCAGCCTAGTCACTTCCGGGGATGAATCGGCCTTAAGAAAAACTGACAATAACTTAAATTCTTAATAATAGAAAATTAAGTCAGATAAGTTCGCAATATGCTGCAGGCAAAAACAGCGCAACCACAGTAGAGCTCAAAACTAATTTTGTAAGGGAAACTGTGCTATGTCAGCCTTCCAAATAAAACAAATCTGACAAAGTAAACCTGGCAACAGCTCTTGAAAACGACCTCCAATCAATAGTGAAATGGAACAAGAAATGGCTTGTAAATGGCTTCTTAGCCTCACGTCTTCGACTGACATGAAGTGGAGTAATTATATTGAATCAATTCTTAGCTCTACTGCAAGAAAAATTGGTTGTGTTATGCCAGAAAATTTTTTTCGTCAAAATTTATCTTGCACATGTATAAATTTACCATTCGTTCGTGCATTGAATACTTTTGCCGTATCTGGTCTGGTGCGCCTACTGTACATCTAGAAATTCTTGACAAAATCCAAAGAAGGGTCTGTAATGTAATCGGTTCTGACCAGGCATCTCGACTTCAGTTACTTTCTCATCGACGTGACGTGGTTTCCCTCTGTCTTTTCTACTAGTATTTTCATGACATCAACTCTGACGAACTTTTCCCCCTGATGCTTCCGAATACATGCGTATTACTAGATTGGCAAGTAGGTTCCACCGTTTTACAGTTGTAATAGCTAAATGCAACCGCCACTTCTATTTCAACAGTTTCTTTTTTCGCACTTCACAACTGTGAAGCTCCCTTCCGATTTCTTGCTTCCCTGATAACTACAATCTTGAAAAATTTAAATGCAATCACCATCTTCTATCTTCTTGAAACCTGTTCATTTTTGTCCTTCCCTCAAGCCTGCCGATTCTCAGTCTTCTCATTCTCTTTCATTTTCACCCCCCCCCGCGTTCTAGTGGCATTACCGCTTTGCTTGAGGTGAAATGCTTAATAAAATTAAGACAGTCGGATGAGAAAGTATTTAAATTCTTGATCTTAAAAGAGTTCGAACTCTGAGTGCTGGCATCTGTGGAATGTGTTGGTATTCTTCCGCATGCACGCATGCTGGGAATATGACACGAGATTGAAGTGGGAGTTCATGGGACTAGGGAAAAATTGCTTAAGCAACTTCGGTATTTCTCCTTTGGGGACACCTCAGGCGCCAGTGATTAACGTTAGCATTATCCTTTGAGTGAGGTACTGCCTGGGGAAACGACATCCAGGAAGTAAACACATTAAACTTCTCAGACGCTAATGAAGTTATATTTAAATCTTTCCCTTTCACCAGCTTAAATTTTCATCCTAATTTGAATTTAATTTATTCTGCTAATTAATTTAAATGTAGCAAAAAATTAATTACAAATGTTAATATCGTTGATAGTGAAAAGTATCATCTTCATCTAATTCCTCTGTAAGCTAATCTCGCTAAATCATTTCCCAGTATAGACAACCCTTTTCCCACATATTGGACTATTCTTTTATTCCAAAGGTCAAACGTAATTTAACCATCTTCAATAACTCGGGGCGCATAGCTGTCGGATAATGGATAGAGAGCTAATCCGTCAGATTTATTTGGACTGAGTAGTTAGCAGAGGACTAAGAAATAGAAAAACTTCGATAGAAACGAGGAAAAGAGGACTAAATTGTTACGTGACTGTCCTCCGGTATAACAGTGAGTGCTGGGCAATCCCCACAAAGGTAACGAAAAGTTTTGAAGCAACAGAAATATGGTTCTACAGAAGGATGCTGAGGATACCATGATCCGAACATCTGAGCAACGACGAAATTTTATAGAAAATGGAAACAAAATTGAAACTTATACTTTACATCAGGAAGAGGCATTTGAGGTTTCTAGGTTACATATAATGAGGAAAGAGGTTTTGGTAAATATGATACTCACAAGACAGATTGCAGACAAGCGAGTCAAAGTAAAATGACATATAACATATTTAGTGAGCTTGAGTAAATGGATGGCGGAATAGGGTTTACGAGAAATAACAAAATCACAAAATTTATTAAGAGCTAAAAAGGACAGGAAGTTGTGGAAAGCCATGATCATCTACGTCCTGAGGGGACACGACAAAAAAAAAAAAAAAAAATGATTTCAAATATATTTAAAATACACGGCGAAATGATCCTTGGAGAACGAAACCTGCCAGTGTGTATTAATAGCGGATATCCTCTTAGTAATCTAAAATACGCAGATGGTACTCTGTTGATGGCAGACAGAAAAAGAAAGCTACAGGAAACCAACGAATTGGAAACGAGAAAGACGCATTGGAATAGCGACATTGGTCTTCCAAAAGTTAAAGTATAAATGGTTGGTTTGTTTTTACGGTTTATTAACACTTTCAGGGTTTTTTAAAGCCCAAATATATTTCAGTTTGTAGAAGGGTTCCTTACAGTACTCTGTCTTCTCAAGCGGTCTCCCATCAGAGTATTTACTGGGATCGACGTTGCTTAACTTCGATGATCGAACGGGGCAACTGGTGTTTTCAGACTGATCAGACCGTAGGCAAAGTATAAAAAAACAGAAAAGATCTCAATAGAAACAAAGACAAGAATGCTGAGCTGCTATGAAATATTAATCCTCCAAGATGACAGTGAATACATGAAAATTTCCTCACAGAAGAAGAAGAGACAGAGATATGGTTCCTCACAGATAAAGAGGTAACAGAGATATGGTTCTACAGAAGGATGCTGAGAATACAATGGACGGAATATGTGAGCAACGAGGAAGTTTTAAGGAAAATAAGAACAAAAAGGACACTTGTATTTAGAAAGAGAAGCTAACATTTCTGGGACACATAATGAGGAAAGAAGGTTTGGAGAATTTGAATCTCATATGATACACTGAAGAAAGATAAGCAGAGAGTAACCTACCAAACGAGCATATGTAAATGGTTGGCAGAACATGGAGGGATTGTTAGAGAACAAACATTGCTTAGACTAACAAATGATAAGAAATTATGGAGAGTCATTTTCACCCACGTTCTAAAGTGAAACAACGTATAAAATAGAATGCATGGCCATCAGCAAAAGCGACTACCTGAAACGTGAGCTAAGGACTGGAGACGACAAAATCAATCAGGTATATAAATTCAACTCCTTGGTTAGTAACGGGGATAAAAAAAAATGGAACACAGAAATCCGAAGGAAAATAGAAATAGCGAAAAAGATTATTCTCCCTTGTATGGACATGGGTTCTATTAAGATAAATATATCGAACTATAGGTACTACTAAGCTAATTAAATCTCGATAAAAATAAAACAAGGACTTAGAGAGGTACAACACCGAGCAAAAACTATGTAACTAGTACATTTAGAGGATTTATGTTCACTTAGGATGTTTTTATATAGCAATAAATAAACTAATAACAGATAAGACACAAAACATTTTTATATAATAGCAGAGTATTCTGGCTTCATAAAATATATCCTAAACAAACTAAATTAAGTTATTTAAATTACTGGTTGATTTTTTCCAATTACTGGTTGATTTTTCCAAGCTATCTAGAGGAAAATAAGTAATAGTCCAATATTGAGAAAAAATATGGAATTTATTGTCAAAATATTACAATTAATACTTTGTTACCCCACCTTGCTCTCAGAGCCCACGTGATATCTCTCCTCCAGGCCACTCGCCTTGCCGCTGACAGACGACTGTGTCTCTGGGCGACGCCTTACAGTACAAAAAGAAGGAAAAACTAAACAACCCAACCATGAGCTTTTATGACAGCTTTAATTCTTTCGAGCATGGATTTCACTAATGTAAAGTAATATTCATTATCAATGTGGTCCCAACTTTCCGAAAAAATCTTTTTGGTAGGTGGAGCCGTCTCATGCCCCCCCCCTTTTTTTAAATGTCCACCATATATTTTCAATTGGATTTAAATTAGGTCTGTTCACTGGCCATGATTGATTTCATATGCCTTTCCCGAAGAAAAGCTTTAACGATGCATTATCAACCTAAAAATACTCCATCGACACCAAACCAATTTCCTATCCATGGATTAAGAAAATTATCCAGGGTTTCAATGTACACAAGTACATTGATTGTTGAGATAATGATTGCTATCTCTCCTGGTCATTTAAACAACATTCAACACCAGAGCAACTATGATTTTGCATTCATCTTTATATGTTTCATTTGGACAGCACTAGACAAAACTTCTAGCCTCATCGCCTTGGCCCAATGCAGTTACTTGATTCATTAATGAATATCACTTTCATCCAATTTTCCACATGCCATGATTATTTATCTTTAAACCATTTTAATCTAATTTTCTTCTTTTTTCTCCCTTAGCGCTGGTTTTCAGTTAGATTTTCTCTATTCAAATTCCATTTCATTCAGCCCAAGTGATAATCCTCTAAGTGTGTCTATTCCATAATTTTGCCAATGGACATCGGTAACAGACTATACTTGTAAACCGTCGTAGTCGTAATAGATCATAGATAAAGGTTCGACATATGGTCATGAGTTATAAGAAGTTAACTCTATCTGATTGTTGTAGGCATCACGATCTAGAGTGATCATTTGCTAGCTAGTCTTATAGACCATGACCATTGTAGTAGTTTTGATTTCATGTGTGGTTAGTGTAAGGTTAGCTACGCAGAAAGTGGAGCAGGCGAGCCGAATTCAAACTCCAGTCTATTCTGTTCGGTTCATTTCACTTTCGCATTGATACCATTGGGAAAGATATTAATCCACCTCTTCCCTCCACACCTATGGGTTCAATAACAGAGTAGACTGGGATCTTGGAAGGACTACTCTGAATTCAAAACTGTAGAAGAGCCACGGAAAACCACCCCTATATCTTTCCCAATAAATCAAAGCAATTCACAAATAATAAAGGAAAAAAGAGTGAGGTACAATGATAATCTACGCCTTGAAGATACATGTCATTTTAGAAAAAATCGATTCTTATATATGACTAATGGGGGTGCTTGAGAAAGAAAGAAAAATAATCTTAGTATTCTGTAATCTCCAAAGTCCACATCAGGCATTAATATAGCCATGACATATTAACACCTTAACATGACAGAAGGAAATACTAAAATAATTCAAAGAAATTAATTCTAAATATGAATTGTGCCTGAAAATAATTTATATACAGTACTAGAATCTACAATATATCAAACAAAATGTTACATAGAGATTAATAAGTGACAAGCAAAAACTTTGGAGACAGACTGCATTTAAAAAAAAACAAACAAAAAAAACAACTTAAAACTTTAGACCTTGCTTGTATTTTTCAGTCTTGCATTTCGTGATTTGATAAGAAAAACTGAATCAGTTCAAAAATCCGTACGGAGACACCATAACTTTTCAACTTGTGAAGAAGACCAGCATGCCAAACCCTGTTGAATGCTTTCGAGATATCCAAAGCAACAGCCCGAGTTTCCTCATTCTCATCTAACGCTTGATACTCTTTCCGCAGTAATCGTTAATACATCAGCAGTTGATCTAGAGAAATGAAAGGCATATTGCTTGTCTGAAAAAGGATATCTGATGTGAGATGCTTAACCAATTCAGCGCTGATTAGAGCCTCTATTAGTTTACCAAAAGAGACAGATAGGACGATAGTCCGAAGAGTCAGACGGTTCACCTGAATTCTTAAAGACTGGAACAACATATGAGGATTTCCAATAGGCAGGAAAGCAAGAAGCATCGAGACACTTATACAGGAGCCAGATCGGGAGCATATTTCTTAAGAAATATTCCAGAGATACCATTAAGTGCACATGTTTAATGAGGATCCACATTAGAAATGATAGCAGAAACCATGGAAGGTGTTATATACATAGCACTCGATAGAGAATCAGTTCGAAGTGGAAAGTCAGGTAAGGATTCTCCAAATGAATCAAGTGATTCTTATAAGCTATATATAGCGTCTGAACAGGCCGGTGTGAACCATGGAGAAGAGTGAGGTTTCATCTGGTATTTCCGAGAAGGAACAAAAGCATCTATGCCGGCTTTAACCCAAGAAGAAACCTTACTGGCGCATTTCTCAATAGGAACGTTAAGAATATCAATCCAAGGGGCCTCCCAAGTGAATCCCAATCAGCATACTGGTAACCGAAGGAGATTTTGTGAATAAGAGGTTCCTGTATAATACTGGAACGATATCTCAATAGAAACTACAACGTGATCAGAGTTGCCAAGAAGTGCGAAGGCCGAGAAGAGGTAGGAGAGGAGTTAAGGAGCAAATCAAGTAAAGAAGCATGTTGATCAGATTTATTAGGGAAACATGTATGGAAATTCCGTTTTGGAGTAAGAGACTGAGCAACGAAATAATGATCTGAATACCGGTAACATCATTGTGATGTGCATTAAAATCACCAATCACAGAATTGTTGACAGATGGATGATGATAGTACACCATTTCTATACTATTCAGAATTTTTTCCTAATATATTGCAGATCTGAGAAGAGCGGGGGTGGCGATAAAGGAAAAAAAGATAGCTAACAGGCTGTAGTAACGAATGTCGAAAGCACATGAAAGAAATTGTCTGGGGAATCGAGTAACAAGTCCCTTGCCACTGGAAGATTATCCTGCATGTAAACACCAAGGACATGTATATGGATGCTAAAATCTTTTTGGCGAAGAGGAAGATAGCCTATGATAACAATTCGGTAACAATGGAAGAATTTAAATTGGTTTCACAAAGTGCAAAGATATCTGACGCCCGTTTCAAGAGCAAGGGTTCTATACTGCAAACGTTGGAATGGATACCATGAGTATTGGAGAAAGAATGGTTTAGGTGGGTAGGTGTTTTTTTTTGTTTACTGGTTTTCTCGTATTTCGTTTCATTGTATTTATCACAAGAAGATTTTTTGAGGGGAAAGAAGAAAAAGGCCAACATAATTATCACTACCTGACATCAATGGCAATACAAACTAGCCAGAACTTGTCTGAGCGGAAATACATGCAGGGAGATCTGCCCATGCGCGACATGGCACTACAGATAGCCCGATATTATGCGACTGTTGATCAGAGCAATCTCTCTAAACGCTACCTTAGTACCAATCAGATGCAGCAACCAAAGAATTGCCAATCCGATACCGTCATAATGAAAAGTCACAGCCACTGATTAGTCAGATCTCCCAAAAGTTAAGATATTTAAATCATTTTGGCCTTGCAAGAAGGAACTGGTGAACTATATCTTAAACAAAGAACAAGGAATAATTGGAAGGAGTGTGAGCCGGGCGATAGGTGAGCTTATCTACACCTATTAACCTGATAACACCACTGGGCGTTTTTATCAAGACACTAACTCTTGGAAGGTTGTCGATTTCGGCTGTAGACCACATCCAGGCCAAGGGAGGGTTACCGGAGGATTAATATCACTCTGAGAAAATTGAGAATAAGGATCGTAGTGAGGGTGGCGTTGTTAAGTGTGGGATTAGCTTAGAATACTTGAGTAAGGGTACGGTTGGTTAGCATACTGATGGTATCTATTAAGTTGTGACTTGGTATAGGTCCGAATATCCCCTATGAGGATAAAGTTTAC